AATATGTTAGAATTTCGATCAGAAATACTGAGATCATTAAAAAAAATTAAGCGCGGTATAGCAATCTGTTAACGACGACAAAACGGATTTTGACGTCAAGGCGGAGCAGCGAGCATACCTAATATTTTGAGTAGCGGTATTGAGAACTCTTGTCCAGACTAAACGACCTGCTAAAACAATGACAATGCAATAAAACATGTCTAAGGGTTTATTTTTTCATTGGTATATTTTTTCTTACAAATAATTAAACCAGACTAAAAACAAAAGCTCCGGACGACCATCAATTTTTACGGACCCGCGTTGTATAACTCGGTACTGCATGATGCTAAGTCAACCTGTATTTGACACTTCGTATATATTTTACACTGGGGTAGCAACAGCACACGTTTTATTTTTATTTTTTTAAAGGATTGTTTAAGAATTATAAGAAACAGTTTGATTTTTGAAATGTCATATGTAATGAACAGAGAAAGTAGATTGAGCGCTTCCTGATCATTTCACAATGAGAATATATCGGCTGACCTTACGCTAAACTGCTGCTCTAGGTCAACAGACATATGTTTGTTTATGATTTCACCGGGACTTATTTAATTATCCTATAAATTAGAAATTTTTTACAATTGTTTTATTTGTTCTTTAAAAAATGTTGACGAATTTTCATGAATTTATCTCTGTCCTTTGTGGAGTAAAAGTAACTGTCGCAATAATTTTCGAACAGCCCTCGTTTGTTTGTTTGTTTGTATGTTGTTTAACGTCCCTCTCGAGAATTTTTCACTCATATGGAGACGCCACCACTTGCCGGTGGAGAGCTGCAAATTTTGTCCTATACTCGGCACTTACGGCCATTGAGCAGTGAGGGATCTTTTTCGTGCCAGCACCTACTGCGACACGGGACCTCGGTTTATACGGTCTCTTCCGAAGGACCGGTCTCCACGTCCCACAGTGGGATTCGAACCCGCGACGTAAGGATCAACTCCTTACTTCGCGACTCTAGAGCAGACGCTCTAACCACTGCGCCACGCGGGCGACTCGAAGAGCCCTCGTATTGTCATCAAAAGAGAAACTGTGGTATCGATAGTATAATAAGTGAAATAAAAAAATTAATACATTATACGCATGTTAAAAGCTTTAAATTTGAAAGTCAACATTCATTCTTTTAAAGTTCTTTCTTTATCAAATCTTGAACGACTTTTTTTGCAAATCCATTCTTCACAATAATCGAAAGTATTAAGGAAAAAATACAGGAAACCACAAGATTTATTTTTCTTCCATTTGCAGAAAATGTCACTGAACAGAAATAGCGCATCTTCACTAAGTTTCTATATTTGCATGATACTTTTTGGATCCGTCATTGTCACACACCCCTCTTTTACATGTGTCTTGTCCATCTTGTTTGGCAAGGTAGTCTTTTGTTGAAGTGTCGAGTTTTAGAGATGCAGCTTTCTTGGCAGCTTTTCTTTCATTCATATCTTAATAAAATAAATTGATATAGATGTTAAATCATAATTTCAAATAAGTCTGAAAATTTAAAAGGGCATCTGAATACTTAGTTACATACCTATTACTGTTGGTTCACCATACATCCACACTGTAACTATTTTGTTCCTTCCACATGAGACGTTACACAAAGTTAGAAAAAGGATTAGCATCAAAATGTAAGACATCTTGTGCGATAGCTTGATTTTTAATGATAAAGTGTTTTTGTATTTCCAATCGCTGAAAAAAAGTCAAGGCCATGTGTCTGAAAGAACTTTTTTCCGGTCTACATAATGAGCATCACTACTTGAAAATAATAGGAGTGCTCTTTTGCACTGCATACATTTGAAATTTCTGTGCTGATATAAAACTGAATTTATCAAAAATGTATGTATATAAAATTATTTGTTGATGGCTACACCAAGGTAGAACAAATGTTCTTGGAAGATTAAAATGTTAACTAAGGTATATATATATATATATATATATATATATATATATATATATATATATATATATATATATATATATATATATATATATATATATATATATGGAAGTCCGTGTTTGCTCTGCTCCTATTTTGTATCATGACAAGGAGCACACGGCGGGTGTGACCGGTCGGCAGGGGATGCTCACTCCTCCATGGCACCTGATCCCACCTCTGATGTTTGGAGGTCCGTGTTTGCTCTGCTCCTATTTTGTATTGTATAATGGACTTTTGAGCTTGAATACTGTTCGTTATCTCCATATATTTCATATATAATTTGTAAGAATAACATGTTTGGAGATCCAATTTTAAAAATGATCATTATGATAGAATACTGCGGTTGACTTGAACTTGAATGACTTTATAAAATATCATTGATACATTAAAGTGTATCTTTTCCCAACACGCAACATAATCTTCTGTATATTTTTATTTACAGACTGTTTTTAACAGTTCTTGTATTTTCATTTGCTTATCTCAACATATACATATAATTCTTCTTTTAAACATAATTTCTGATTGTTACAAATTCGATTTTCTTTATCCATATTTACTCATATGATATTTTAAATTTTTTAATACACATCATTTGAATTTACTGTTGGAATATTTTTTCCAAATTTGGATATAATATGACGTTAAGTAAAAAAAGTTATGATGGTATTCCACGGACTTTCCGAGGGTAATCAATTGTACATAAATCTTATAATTTTATCTTTAAAATGTGCTAACTTGAGTAAAAATTAAATGCATTATTTGCATTTATTCTGTAGATGGGAATTCCTCAAACTGTAAATTTTGCGACTATGATATGTTTATTGTGTTCAATAGATCATGTAAGAAAAAAATGTAAAAATACCTATGCATATTCATCTTATATATTTTATATATACATACATGTGCTTTTGCAGAGTTCGAGTCAAAATGATGACGCCTATGAATGTTTAGGAGATTAAGAACGACAGTTTCCGGGGTTATGAAATATGACTTATTTCATTATTAATCATCTTATTTTTGATCGCATTCCTATAATTTCTCATGTCATTAAAGACGTCAAATATGGAGTTGAGATACATGATGTTTACTGGATTTAACAATAATACCCTTAACCGACCAATGCAAATTTTCATATAAATGTTATAATTGTTAAACATTTTAAGTCCTGTCATTTTTAAGAAGCCTAACCTTGAACATTTTTTCCAATGGTACGAACAGAGAACACAATCACTCAGCATGTTACAGATTAAGCCCTTACAAGGTTTAAGGTGGGGTATCCTACAGCGGTATAGCATACTTCCTACAGAGGTTCAGCAGGAAAACAGATGCTTCTTAGACTCTTTAGACTTTAAAACCTTGTCTAATTTATAAGCGAACGAAAGAAATCAGAACCAGTATTATTTACGAGATGATTCTCAGTAGATTTAATAGAAAAAAACCCTGTAGTTTCCTCCGGTTTCACCGGTAGGGGACTAATAATAATGAAAACGTATTTTAACATACAGGGATATAAGACTTATCAATCATTTACTATTAAACTTCAGAGAATGAGGAAATTCATCTCATTTTTGAAATTAATAGTGATATAAAAAAAGAATAAAATCATAATTATTGATACAGTTATTAGTTGTCATGCAAGAGAAAAAGTCTTATTAGAGTGTGGGCGGATGACCAAAAACTCAAAATTAGATAAAACTTGTCAATGAAATTACATATCAATGTTCGTAAGGTAATGACAAATTTACAAAAAAAATATTATCTGTAATGATACATGACTTCAGCCTGTTTAGTTAGATATTTCAAATATATGCATTCCACAATTGCAGGAAATCCAATAGTGTAGTACATTACTCAAATATGTACAGTGTGTTGTCACGAAAAGAAAAATATCTTGGGATATTTAATGATTTCAAAAGTACAAAAATCGCAGCGATACATTTACATGTACATACATTGCAGTGGACCATCAAGAGTTGCTTTATTCGATATATGAGTATCACACATTTGATTCTGTGAGATAAATGGATAATGTGATCTTTCTCTATCTTTGTAAAATTACGAAACTGAGCCATATCGCTTATACCAATGAAATATGGAGGTAACGAACAGTAATCAAGCTCAAAGTTCATTAAAACAATACAAATCGGGAGCAGAGCAAACACGTACCTTCAAAAACATCAGAGGTGGGATCAGGTGCCATGGAGAAGTGAGCATAACCTACCGACCGGTCACACCCGCCGTGTGCTCCTTGTCACGATCGGGAAATAACGGAAAGATCCGTCGACAATTCAGTGTGTAAATAATGGCCTAACAATTAGTATGAAAAACGTCAGTCAGCATATGGTCATTGTATCGAACATAGAACTTACGAAATGATGACTTTAAACGAGACTGTTGATACTCTTGTTTCATGAACTTGTTTGTTAATAACTTATATCGTTTTAGAAATTGTTCATACGTAGAGCATGTTCTTGCGTATCGAATTAACTGAGTTATATACACCCCGTATGCAGGTGAAGGTATATTGCTGCATAAGTAAGGGAAGCTGACGATTGAAAGTTAAAGTCATCACGTTTTTCATAAAACTTTGTTTTTAGACTACCATTAACGTCTTTTTCTGGTGAAATATCCAAATATGAAACAGATGTGTCAGACTCTGTGGTATCTTTTATTTCAAGCTCACTGGGCATATGTCGACATATGAATGGAAATAACTATTGTTATTTGCTAATACTTCGTCAATATATTTAAGTGACGAGTTGAAGGCCACAGCAAGAGATTTCTTTTCTCATGTATAAGATTTTGAATAAATCTGCTTCATATGAATACAAAAATAGGTCTGCTAACAACTGGGCGCAATTGGTAACCATGGGAATTCCAACAGATTGTTGGAAGACCTGATCTCCAAAACCCACATAGATATTGTCAATCAGAAACTCAAGCACCTATTTAATTAATATCAAATTCAGAGAACTTGTGTGTACAATCAGAATGTTTTTAACAAAATAATTTTGCAAATGACCAATGACAAGGTAAGTAAATTTACGAGTTCCAAATTTATTGAAAAAGCAGTCGTCAGTGATGTCAAAAAGCCTGGACTTTTATTTATCATTGGTTATATAGAGAGTAGAAAATCGTAAGTTTTTATGTTATTGATTTCGGTAAAATTTGGTGATTTCAAATTTTCCAAAAGTTCCTTGGAATTTTTAAGTATCCATATCTGATTTACACCACTTCTCGAATATATTGTTGCACAGTAGTCCTGAAGTTTCTCCTTCACTGCTCTTAATATTTTAGTGAGGAGTAAATAAAGACGCTTGGTAGAACATTTACTGGAACCTGCTTTGTATCTTTGCTTGTAAAGTTTTTTTAAAATGAAGTTTCGGAATCCAATATAAATGTTCTAATTCAAATTAATTTTCGTTGTTGGGAATATTAAAAATATGATTTTGAAGAATTTCCTCCTTAGAAAGGGAGCTATGGGTATAAGTTGGATTACCACTTGTAGAATTAAATCATAGTTCTTTTATTTTATTTATAATTCAAATTAATTTATGTGTATTGAATTTTTTTGTATAAACTGTGATACGAAAAACCTTTTTTGAAGAATTTCCTCCTTAGAAAGGGAGCTATGGGTATAAGTTGGATTGCCACTTGTAGAATTAAATCATAGTTCTTTTATTTCATTTATAATTCAAATTAATTTAAGTGTATTGAATTTTTTTGTATAAACTGTGATACGAAAAACCTTTTTTGAAGAATTTCCTCCTTAGAAAGGGAGCTATGGGTATAAGTTGGATTGCCACTTGTAGAATTAAATCATAGTTCTTTTATTTCATTTATAATTCAAATTAATTTAAGTGTATTGATTTTTTTTTGTATAAACTGTGATACGAAAAACCTTTTTAAAAGACAAAAACTGCCCGTCGATATTTAAAGCTGATCGCAATTGATTCACAAGAGAAATCTAATTTAACAAAAAAACTATTACGTTAAATTTTCTCAAGTCATAAAAATGTCCACATGTATACAGTTAGTTTCATTTCAACTATATTTCTATTTTCATTTCAACATTTTCCAACTCGTCATCCTCACACAGCTTCTTCCTACATCTACTTTTTCGGACTTCTCCTGCAAGTTTATCACAAGACCTGCACAACGATTCTGCAAGGTAGACTGTGGTAGAATTATCGCTTATTTCAGTAGCATCCTTTAAGCCATATCCAGCTTTCCTTTTGGTCAAATCTGTTCAAAAAAATTTACTTCATGTGATTTTGAGTTTGTCATACAGGAAAGATAATGATTTGGTTTGACAAAGGGAATAAGAAAAATACTGGTTACCTAAATGTATGGCTTTTCCATTAATCCAAACCGTGATTTTCTTGCCATTTTCAAACGAGAGGTTACACAAAATCAGCAGGAGCGTTAATGTGAAAATTGACGACATTCTGTTCTTATCCTACGGTATGTCGATACAGAATAATTTTAATTCAGAGCATACAAGTGTTTGGTAACTTCTCGAGAAAAAGAAAATTCAAGCACTATTTCCTGAAGATAAGAAGTTTTTAAGTTTTAGAGAGAAGAGAAAGAGAGAATGTATGTCGTAATTGTAAACAAATTGAGATGTGAATTGAGTTCGATCTGTTCGTATGTCATTGCAAATCGAGTCCGGACCAGAATTCTGTCTTGAAGTAAAAGATGTCCATTTAACTCTCCTTAGGCTCTGACAAGAGGAAGCTCTGGCCCAGGGTTATTTGGAAAGTTTAAAATCACTGGCAGAAAACGAATAAACCCGTATGCGGGCGATCACTTTGAACGTAGAAATAATGGAAGCACATACTTGACACATAGAATGATCGTAACATGCTGATCTTATCTGGACCTGATTCGTTCAGGTTCAAAGTCACATGCAGGAAATATGTAATTTTTTTTCCTAAGACCCATTAATTGGATCTTTATAACTGAATATAATTGTATTTTGCACCCTATTCATAATACGTTTATATATTTAAACTAAAGAAACGAGTTATCATTTGATACGTAAAAATATGTCAATCACAGATAGGTATCAATGAACAAAATTCTGCCACATATTCAATCTTCAGAATCATGCTTTTCGGATGCCCTCATTTACTTATTATTTTACTTGAGAAAACACACCAGACCTATAACAAATAAATGCATAAAATATTTATGTGAAAAAAATTTGTAATCTGCATTCATATAAGGTCATAGGACACAAAAAATGTAATAGCAAAAAAGGTTTTACAGAGTTTATCAATTCTAAAATGTCACGAAGTTTTCATACAAAACCATCATTCTTCTTACATCCCCCAATCCGTACTTTCATCTTTCATTTCTATATTGATATCAATGCAAAAATATTTTTTCGATATAGATGTATTTCTTGCCTTTCTGATATATATATATATATATATATATATATATATATATATATATATATATATATATATATATATATATATATATATATATATATATGAAAAGAAAATCAGTTAATTCACAGAAAAAGACCCACGTAGGTCCATCTTCATTCACCTGATATTTTTTTTTTTAAATACATATTTTCATGTGTATGTGTCTAGAATGAAGATTGCTTTAAAAGAAATCTTGATAATAACGAAGCTTACACATTGTTTAACAAATTTTCAAACCATAGTTTTTTTTTGAGAATATCCTAATTTGTGTGTGTTAAAACATTCTATTAAAAAATAATCTACAAGTATTTGTTTAAAGGTTACATGTACTAAGAAGAATGAACCAGACTCAAAAATGGCTAGAAAAAGGTATTATATTTTTATATTTAGATTACGAAAGTTTTCATTCATTGATCATAAAGCAACGTTCTCCGCTCACACTTGATCCCACATTCACTCTGCATTTATTTGCATCAACCTGCAAAGGACCAGTAATTAAAACAAACATTGAAAGGGCGTCTAATGATATGATAGGGTCTAACATTCATGTTGTAGTGAATAAATTAACCAAAAAAAAAAAAAAAAAAAAAAAAAAAAAAAAAAAAAGATGAATTGAATGTGGAGATTTGAAGATTTCATTTCCAGTATACTAGATACATGTAGATATATAAAAAAAAAACCCAGTATTTTGAAAATGAATAATTAATTGCTATATTAACAATCCAATTTATTATATTAGAATCTTCATTTTAATTACGCAATACCTGTTACCTGTTAGGTACATAATATGGAATCACAGAAATAAGAACGAACCTCAGAAAATGAGGCACTTCTGCACAATAGAAATGTGTCTTATACAGGGTTATCTTTAGGTCATGAAGTTGTAAACATGTAAAATACCTTACGTCGGTGTGTAGTTATTAGTCCCCTACCGGTGAAACCGGAGGGGACTATAGGTTTCCTCTGAGTCTGTCCGTCCGTCTGTCCGTCCGTCTGTCTGTCCGTCTGTCTGTCTGTCCCTCTGTCTGTCAGTCTGTCCCACTTGGTTTTCCGCACTTTTTTCCTAAACGCTTGCAGATATTGAGCTGATTTTTGGTATGTGAGTGTATCTTGATGAGTTACAGATCAAGTTTGCATTTCGTTCCGCTTCATTGATTTTTGACGGAATTACGGCCTTTTCAATTTTTCAGGGTTTTTCGCAATTTTCTTCTAAACGCTTGTAGATATAGAGCTGATTTTTGGTATGTGGCTTTACCTTGATTAGTTATAGATCAAGTTTACATTTCGTCCCGCTTCATTAATTTTTGACGGAATTATGGCATTTTCAATTCTTAACGGGAACAGAACCAGATTACACTTGCCGGTAGGGGACTAGTATTGCTCATGCAATACTCTCAGAATGCTTGTTCCGAAAGGGATTTTCCGGATTCAAGTATCGGATGACTCACAAAAAAATGGGAGGTTTGTATTTTCGTAATCAACCCTATCCTATGTATAAAATAAGATTTCAAAATTGCAGAAAAATGTAGGAGCTGTTGATTTGATAATTTTTCTTGTTTTGAAAGTTATTTTGCTATAGCACCACTCACAAGTATACAAATTCATCTCCTTTATTTGAGAAAATTTCCTTCTGCATTTATGTTGCTCAAAATTCTGAACAAGAGGAATAATTTTTTTTTCACCTGACAGAAAAAAAATATCATGTTTACAAATGATTATCCACCACAAAGAAGCATATAAAGAAAGTTCTACATGGTATTTATTTGACAGACTCCTCGTCAGTTATTTCAAATTTAAATAAGATATCATAATTCCGCATACATGTAATATTTGGCATAGAACAACTTTTCATAAACTATCATCGTGTCATCATTTATTTATTTATAAACAAAATCTTCGCTCACACTTGATCCGCCATTCATTCTGCATTGATTTGCACGATCTACAAAACATGTCAGTGATTGCAACAGACAACTGGAAGGCTTCTCCTGCGAAGTTAGGACCTGACGTTCTTTGTGTAGGTGCTACATTATAGGAACCTAAGATAATGAATAACATGTATATATGAAAATTTAAATATTTCATTATAAAATGATTGTTCTAAAAAAAAATCCTGTTTAAGGAGATAGTAATATAGCAAATGCTAACAACTCACCTAGAAGAATCTCTTCTTTAATTGGTATTTCCTCAAGCAATATAACTTTGTTCATGTTGACAGGTACAGAATAAGTGATCACAAAAATTGCAATAAACACAGAAAATGCCATTTATACTGGAGAAATACTGCACAATTTAATTCGATCCGTGTAAATAAATAGACAAATTTTACTCAAGTTTTGTTGTAATCGTGTTGAAATACCAAATATTATTGTGTAGTTATTCCGAATTGGTTTTCCGGAGTTAAGTATTCCTAAGTGGATTGACTAATGCAACCTTTGCTTACATGTAAATGATTGCTTGTTAGTCCCCTACCGGTGAAACCGGAGGGGACTATAGGTTTCATCTGAGTCTGTCCGTCCGTCTGTCTGTCTGTCCCTCTGTCTGTCTGTCAGTCTGTCCCACTTGGTTTTCCGCACTTTTTTCCTAAACGCTTGCAGATATTGAGCTGATTTTTGGTATGTGAGTGTATCTTGATGAGTTACAGATCAAGTTTGCATTTCGTTCCGCTTCATTGATTTTTGACGGAATTACGGCCTTTTCAATTTTTCAGGGTTTTCCGCAATTTTCTTCTAAACACTTTCAGATATTGAGCTGATTTTTGGTATGTGACTTTACCTTGATTAGTTATAGATCAAGTTTGCATTTCGTACCGCATCATTGATTTTTGACGGAATTATGGCATTTTCAATTCTTAACGGGAACCAGATTACACTTGCCGGTAGGGGACTAGTATTGCGAATGCAATACTCAGAATGCTTGTTCGTTTTGTTTTTGAATTTTAACATGTTTAATAACTAATACGTTCCTATTGAGTCCTTCAGATGAATTTTTAACGTAATTCAAATTATTTTTTCCCTTGGTAAATTGATCAATGCCGTTACTCAAGTATATAAATGTACAATATAAGTTTTTAGACTTTTGTATATTTTTTTCAAATTTAACTTAACAGGATACAGTGTTTACCACGACATTGACTGAATTTAACGATAGTTATCCATGAATTTGAGAAATTTTGAAGTAACAAAAAATAATAATGTAAATAAATAAATAAATAAATAAATAATAAAATAAAATTCACACTCGATTTGATATGCAGTGGAATTTTTCATGCAGAAGACGAAGTCCTGACCGTTGTCATAAATGTTCATGGAAAAGGGTTTTATCGTATACGCAGACGATTTTAAATAAGAAATTAAATGAATGAAAACTCGCATAACATGGTTTCAGATTGATTGAAAAGTGTGATTGAAAAATACTTAAGACGTTAATTTATAATACTAATGTAAATGGTGTGGCGAAGATAACGAATGAAACTATCAAATACCACACATTAAACTTTAGATTAGACCCAATGACACCCTGTACCCTAGCCAGTCTCAGTTAAGTGATAATTCCAACAAGCATTCTGAGAGTATTGCATTAGCAATACTAGTCCCCTACCGGCAAGTGTAATCTGGTTCCGTTCCCGTTAAGAATTGAAAATGCCATAATTCCGTCAAAAATTAATGAAGCGGGACGAAATGCAAACTTGATCTGTAACTAATCAAGATAAAGCCACATACCAAAAATCAGCTCAATATCTACAAGCTTTTAGAAGAAAATTGCGGAAAACCCGAAAAAATTGAAAAGGCCGTAATTCCGTCAAAAATCAATGAAGCGGAACGAAATGCAAAGTTGATCTGTAACTCATCAAGATACACTCACATACCAAACATCAGCTCAATATCTGCAAGCGTTTAGGAAAAAAGTGCGGAAAACCAAGTGGGACAGACTGACAGACAGACAGAGGGACAGACAGACAGACAGACGGACAGACAGACAGACAGACGGACGGACAGACGGACGGACAGACTCAGAGGAAACCTATAGTCCCCTCCGGT